TCTATAATTATAATATAAAAATTATATAATAATTTTATAATAATTGTATTATTAAAAAAACACAGGTTTTAGCAAAGGAAGCTAATACCTCTTATAAGAATACAATTAATGAGGGGCTAATGATACAGGTACTGTATTAGTAAAGTGAAGACATAGTATGTTTTAGACTTGGTTTTAAATTTATTTCAAATATGTAGAAATATCTTCAAGTAAGGAGGCTAATAATACAGGTACTGTATTAGTAAAGTAAAGCCATAGTATGTTTTAACTTGGTTTTAAGTTTGTTTCAATTATGTAGAAATGTCTTCAAGTGAGACACTATATGATTGTTTTTTTGCTAAGCGTTAGTTATACATTTCGGTTATAGAATAATGTTGATTCTTTTCTTAAAGCCTATGGTCAATATCATGGATTTGCTATTATTAAAAAGAGAGTTAAGCAATATGATGATAGTGCAATTAAGCATCAATCTTTTGGATGCGAATTTGGGTGAAAGTATATATCCAAAAAAAGTATTAATATCAATGTCTATCATAATCGACAGTTAAAATGGCAAGGATATGAATAGCATATCAATCTAAGTTTTCCTAAACAATCTACCTATATTACAGTTACAACATTTAAAAATACTCACAATAATCTTGAAAATTGTAAATATAGTGCTAAGTTCAGATTTATTGAAAAGGATGCACTAAATAATATCAAATTTTATACAAAAAGTAGAAATCTTTTGATTACTATACAATACTAATTATTAAGAGCAAAGTATCCAGATGCAACTTTTTTAGACATGGATCTTGTTAACGCTATTCAACATTACAAAGTAAAATCTTGAGATCTTGAAGCAGATGCTTCACATCTTCTATCATTTCTTACTAAAAAATATTCAGAGTCAGGTTGGAGTGTTGAATTCGAATTAAATAATGATAACCATTTCACCAGGTTTTTTTGGATGACCTCTAAACAATTATCTTTTTGGCTCAAGTATCATAATGTTATTCTCAATGATAATACAGTTAATATCAAATACTGTTTAGTTTGTTTCTTATTGTTGATAATAATATAAGATTTTATTTGGTTGTATAAGTACTAATATTTGACAAAACAATTAACTCTTACAAATAGATTCTCTAGTATACAATAAAAGCTATGGGTGTTGAACTAATGGTCTTTGTTACAGACACAGATCTGGTGATGGATAGCATATTAAAAGAAGTATACGAAAATACTAATTTACTATATTGCATCTATCATATCAGTTAAAATCTACCAAAGAACCTAAAAGCTATATTAGGCAATATATATGATTTATTCATCAAGAAATTTTATCAGTGTCGTAATATACTAGATGAAATGTTGTTTAAATCTAGGTGGCAAAATTTATTAGAAAATATCTATCTGTTTCAAATTACTTAACAAGGGTCCTTTATTCTAGTCGTCAATTATAGGCTTGCATCTTTATATTAAAAATTTTTACTACTAGAGTTCAAACAATATTACATATGGAAGAGTATATTGTGAATTAAAATAGATTTTAAATTTAGACCTTTGATAGTGTAGAGTTAGATTTGCTACTAAATTTTAAGTTTATTTAACAGTTAAGAAATTGCATTAGATATTAGTTGAGATCACGTTTTGACACGTGTCTTGTTTGTTTTTTTTTATCTAAGGATATTAGCTAATATCTAATATGTTATTTTACTAAATTTTAAGTTTGTTTAACAGTAAAAAATTTCAAATTTACTTCATTCCAGTCTCATTTTTAACAGATACAATGGTCTTATTAAGAGAGTATTATACAGCAATAGTAGTTTATGTGATTTATTAAACATCTTAGATTCGCAATTAGAAAAAGAGGCTAAATAGAACCATTTCTTTGAATATCAGATGTTGTTGTTATGTGTTTGGATTTCATCTGTTGGTAGCAAGATATTCTTACTGTTGATCAAATACTTTCAGAATATTTGTCACCACATATCCTTTCTGTTGAACATATTGAAATGGCTCAATGCTTATATTTCAATGCAGTATTAACCAACATGACGATAATTAGCTCTGATGATAAAAATGAAAGTATAAAAGATTGATTTATAGAAGATATTTATGATGCGAAACAAATTTTGCTTAAATCAATAATTTTGCAAGTCGATCAAGCTAACATTAAAGAAATATAGCAAATTATTGACAAGAGACCAGGCAACAATCAGCAAAAGCAATTTATTATTATAATAGATTCTATTTTCTATTTATATACATGCATGTCCAATATATCTTGCGGTATCATGTATAGATATTACTTTCAAGTAATGCTAGTTTCACAAATTTCTGGATTTTATATTAGTATAGTAGCATCATGCGAGTATTATGATAACAAGAAAGAGGCAGTTGATCAAAAGAATGTGGTTTTTTCAAATAAGGGTTCTAGTCAAGCACAACAAAATCAAACTATATCATTAATTCCTCAACAATTTACTGTTTCTCCTTCAATAACAACAAGCAGCCAATGTATAACAACTCAACGTTTCAAGTTTTGTAAATTATGGGATCTTGTATGACAAGCTACGCAACTCGTAGCTGATTGTGATAATAATGAGATGATTCAATGATTAAGAACTTTTATTAATTAAAAGAAATGTTGTCTAACACAAACTAATGAATACGAAAATAGTAATAAGGAAAACAATTTGACAGTTGCCAATCTACTAATCACCAAACACAAAGACAGACCCAGAACTAAAAGATATAAGACTACCACAGAGAAATTAAGTTGTTAACTATATACTTGCTATAGTTGTAGTAAAACTAGGCACAATAGCGTGAGATATCAAAAGAAAGATAGTATGTAATATATGAATATAGGATGGAAGATGAGTTATTAAAAACTTTAGTGTGACTGTTATTTGATGTATACTATAATATTCATATATTGATTAACTTGTAAACTGCAGTTTGAGTGATTCTAAATTATAGATTTTATATATATTAGAACAAACATATAAGAATTTGGTAGTATGTACAATTAACAAGCTGTTTGTATTTAATATTATCTTATTTTAGAGTTTGAATATATGCTAGCTAGTTTTCTTAAGGTAAGTATAGATTATAGTTGACGATCATACATACTATCATAGCTTTGTGTTTGTTTTAACTTGTGATATCATGTTGCATTACTTATATTCTAAAATTCTGGGTTTGATAACTGTTAAGAGTTTTATAGACAAGATTAATTTTATTAAATTCTAACTTTTACTTCTGTTTAAACAAGTTTTCTTGTATTAATATTGCTATATAAGTATAGAAAGTACTAGCTTCACAATTAACTGCTTGATTAGTCATATTTTGAAGTCATTTTTGCTTATTTAATTTGAATTTGTTATAAATGTATAAAAATGTTAAAAGACATCATTAGATCAGTTAAATTAAAAAAAAATTCATGAATACTAAAAAAGCTAATACAAATAAGGTAGGTTTTATTAAAAATTATTGCTTAAAAATATTTAAAGACTGTTAACAGTTGTTGTGAGATCAGTTTAGTTGAGTTAAGTTTCGTCAAAAATAAGTAAATGCTATAAGATAAAACAAGCAAGCGAGTAAGCTTTTAAAAATTATTTAAACCGATGAAAATAAGTTTATTACAGTACTACAAAATTGCGAAATTATATGACGTATCTATCATGTAATATTCGAAATTTATATGACTTGTAACAAATAATTCATGCAACAGGATATAACACTAATATTTATTCTTAAATTAATTATTTTTAAATTTCTAATTAAAGTTGTAAAGCTCATAAGATAAATCTAACAAGTAGCATAGTCATAGTGCAAAAATTTGTTAGTGATATAATATTCAAGCTGATCGGACCTAAACTTAAGGTTAAAAAATACTTGATATAACTAATTTAGTTATATTAACCTATCTTAGATATTTTTTTAACTTTAAATTTTGGTCTGATCAGCTTGAATATTATATCATCAACAAATTTTTATGCTATGACTATGCTACTTATTTTAACAGTAATTAAATTATTAAAATCAGCCTTATAGATTATAAGATATTTTTAAAAACTTTTTGCTAACTATATAAACTTCTTTTTTAACTATACTATTGTTAAAGAAAAGTTTATATAGTTAACAAAATATTTTTTGAATATATTTTGTAATCTACAAGACTAATAGAAGTAGCTTATATTTTAAAAACTCTAATTGTTATATATAAACTATATTATATTATACTATAAGCTCTCTATAGTTAACTAGTAATCACTAATTAATAAAATACTATAATAATAGCTTTTGGCTATTTAAACTAAATTTTTAATTATTTTTTATAAATAAATTTTATAATTTACTTTATATTTATAAAAAGTTGTAAGGCTTATTTTTAATTAAAACAAGTTTTAAACAAAGTTTATAAATTTTATATTAACTAAACTATAATAAAAATAATTTTTATTTTTTTAAAAACTTTTTTTAAAAATTTTTCATAACTTTTAAATTTTTTTTATATATATATCACAGGTTGAATAAAGATATACCGGGCAACTATTGGCATACTGATATAAACCAATAGATATCTAAAAGGACAATAAAATTGAATCAATATTTATTACTGATATTTGGTCGATTTGGCTTCTATATCTATCAGATATTTGGCAAATATAGGGCACCTATCAAAAAGATTTAAATCAAATATAAGACAAAGTTAAGGCAACTATCAGTTAAATTGATATACCTATAGATTATCTGATATCTCTATCAAATACTCTATATATAAGACTAACCAGTAAACTATCAGATATCTATCAGTTTATTTTAAATGTTTATGGGTTTTCTGATATAGCTATTAAGGGCTGTGACAGATATTACATAATATCTTAGGGGTGGGGGTAAGCCAAAGTCTTACGTTATATATATATAATATATATAATTATATATATAATATAATATTGGCAAAATAAATATAATGCAGATCTGCAAAGATCTGTAACCTTAGCAAATTTTATGATATCTCATTATCCAGTAATCAAAACTCAACGATTTTGGTACCATTTGATCTGTCTCAATGAGACAGATTGAATGGTACCAAAATCATTGAGTTTTGATCATTAGATCATGAGATAATTATATTTAAATAATTTTGATAAATATCTAAATAACTTGTCAACCAGTAGTCCAAATTTAATGATTTTGGTACCATTCAATTCCTCTCAATGAGATGATTCGAATGGTGCCAAAATCATTAAAATTAAATTACTGGTCGCGAGATATTCACAAAAAACTGTTTGCAGCACAGTTCTTTATATTTACAAAGAAATTTAGTTCTATAAAGAACTGCGCTGCAAAAACGTTTTTTTGTAAATATCTCGCGAACCAGTGATTTAATTTTAATGATTTTGGCACCATTCGAATCGTCTCATCGAGAGGAATCGAATAGTACCAAAATCGTTAAATTTGGACCACTAGTTGACAAGTTATTTAGATATTTATAAAAATTATTTAAATACAATTATCTCATGATCCAGTAGTCAAAACTTGATGATTTTGGTACCATTTGATCCGTCTCAATGAGACGGATCACATGGTACCAAAATCATCAAGTTTCAATTACAGGATCATGAGATATTATAAAATTTGCTAAGGTTATATATCTTTACAGATCTGTATTATATTTATTTTGTTGACCAATCAGAGTTATCGTCTT